ATAATTTTTTTCCAGTTTTGACTTAGCTCATACTTTTCTGCCTGTGGGAAGAGCAAGTTGGTGTCAAAGTGCAGGGCTTGTAGTTGAAGGAAGAAACAGTAAGACCATTCTCTCTCCAAGTCTCTTGCTGTGTAACTTCAGAACTTGACCTGCTTTGCTGGCAGCGTAGTGCTTCTGTAGCAAATACATCATCAGGCCTGATCTGATTGTGTACCCACTAGCTCTTGAACTTGCCTAACTTGTTGAAAAGAAACACCGAGAGGGAAAAATACTCTACAGACTCACAATAATACATTCATTTCTGAAGATGTGTTCTGTTGCTATGTATGTGTCCCAGCCAAAGCTCAGCAGTGTGTGTGGTCAGTCACCTCAGTGGAATACTTGAAATGAACAGTGAACCCAGTGGAAAAGTATGCCTAGGATAAACTAATAAAAGCAGAGATGAGCTAGCAAGAAAATGGTTGAGAGCAAGTGAAAAGGATGTAAACGGACAATCTTGGGGGTGCTGGGGGAAGGGGAGGAGTGTGTGACTGCAGGCATGGGCTGCAAGATAGCACCCTCTGGGGTGATGAGCTGCCCTCGGCTTTGCCGTCTCCTCAGGGTGTGAGGCGCGGGGTGCTGAGGCACCTACCTGGGACTGCACTGCCACGGCAGCATGGGCCCCGTGTTACACATCTCCCAGGGAGCAGACCCCGTGTGCACGTTGGAAGCAGGTACTTTGCAACAGGAAGTCCCAGAGCAGAGCACCGGTGAGCGTTGTGTGGTGATGGATGAAACCAAGACCCTGGCTGGACTGTACACATATGTGGCTTTCTGACTAAATGTCACTACCTGCTGCATGTGCTTTCTCTGCTCTTCTCCCCTGCCCGTGCCCGGTGGCTTGCCCTGCAGGCTGGCAGTCTCTGGAGTTGGGGGTGGGAGGACAAGAAGACGGAGCGCGCTTGCTCCAGTTTGTGTAAAAGGCCATCAGCCCCCTGGCCTGAAAGCCCCTGATGCAAAGACTTCTGGAAGCCTGGTTGTTCTGGAAGCCTGGTTGGTGGCTCTGCCTGGATCCTGCCTGCTGCAGGGCATCCCAGCGCTGGTCTCTGCGACCTGCTCCCTGCGCTGTGGCCCACAGAGCCATCTCTGCCAGGCTGAAGCAGGGGGCCTTGGTGTGCTGCTGAGGGATCGGGATGGAGTCCGTGCCACGCATCTGCAGAGGTGCCTGTTGGGGCCAGTCTGGGGCCAGCCATGGTGGGCTGGGCCTGGGTTGGTGCCACACAGAGGAAGTGGTCCCCCAGACCCCAGGCAGGAGGAGGAAAAGAAGATAAAGCAGGGCCTTGGCTGAGGGCAGAGGGAAGAAGGCTGTGGCAGAGGCTGGCGCAGTCCCTGAAGGCCTCTCCTGCAGCCGGGCATAAGGTCCACAGGACCCCTGTGCCTCCTGCCTTGCAGCACGGACGGCTCGAGGGAGCAGGAAGCGTTTGGGATAAAGCCAGCAGCGTGGCGGCTGTGTGGCAAGAGCTCGTTCTCTGCATCTTGTCCTGCAGCCATCCTGCCCCGTTCTGCGGGATGCTGCCCAGGACTGGTGCCGGCAGGATCCCCCAGGGCTCGCATCCGGTTTCTCTTCGCTGCCTGGGCGTGCTGGGGGCTGGTTGTGGCCCTGCAGTTGAGAACGAGCTCCAGGGAGCATGCTCCCAACTAATGGGAAAAATGGTCTAATTGTTTTGGGCTGTTCCCAGAATAACCCTGCGGCAAGCAGAGTGGTGCAGGCTCTTTGGTGGAGCTCGGCAAATGCAGCTTAGTGCAGGATGGTAAAAGGCTGTCTCCTGGTCAGCTGGTTTGAGCTCTCGGCCACCATGATGTTAGATGGGCATATAGGTCAAACTTGCATTGTTTAAAGAGAACTTCATTAAAATAACAAGCTGCCTAATAGGAGTATTTATAGAATCCTGCTCCTTAATTTAATCTGTTCTTTCACTGTTTGTTTTTTATTTTGAAGTTCAAAGGCTCAGTAGAAACCAAACTTTGCAGATGCCCTGGGGGAGAAGTGTGATGTAACTGTGTAACGTCTGTATGATTGCCCAGCCAGAGACTCCTCTCTGACCTGTGCAGAGTTCACAAAAACGTTTATCCGAGTGTACAAACCGATCGCTGCTGCTCCATATCTGTTCCAGATGCATACTCCATGCTACCCGTACGGCGGGAAGCAGCCCCGAGGGGCTGGCCTGGTGTGGCAGAGCCTTGCCGTGCTGCGGTGGCTGGGCACGGGCCCAGCTGCCTTCGAGTGCTGCTGCCCCAGCCCTCCCGCTGCAGAGCGGGGTGCACTGCGCTGCCCGGAGACCCAGAGGTTTGCTTTTTGGGCAGATGCTCTGCTCGCCCGTTCCTGCTGGCCGCAGTCTGAGTGCCGGGCGGCGGACGCTGCCCA